AGAAAAGGAGAGGCCAGGAGCCACACCGCCCTCAGCGGGAGCAGTGGGTGAAACAGCCTCCGGCCCGCTGCTCAGGCTGAAGGGGAAGGGGAATATAGCAAACAACACAAAGACGAACCCAGATTTCAAAGCGGGAGAATGTCTGTGGGGGTCTGTTTAAAGTCAGCGGACACCTGTGAAAATTAAGATCTATCGATTTTATGCTAAAATTCAAACTGTAAAGCCATGGAGATAATGCTGACATTGCTTTAATTCATTGTTATTCATAATCAGAAATGCTCACTTTTTTTTTTTTTTTTTGGCTCCTGCTAGCATAAGAAATAGCAACGAACGGGTCACTGCTTCGGAAGGCTCTTTCTTCCACGCTGACACCCACCATCATAGATGACAGTAACAGTAAGAATCGTTCACGCCCATCGTTCCAGGAATCTCTGGTCAGTGTTTTGGCTGATTCTAGCCAATCTCTGGTTAAGGATGGTAGAGCCGTTAGGTACGTGACCCTACTCAGAGGAAGTCCGTTCTCCAATAAATGCAACGACGGCTTGGTAATAAACCCAATTTCCTTCACGGTGTCCTTTGAGTTCAGCCAATAATCTCAGCAATAATTCTTGGGCGTTCTCCACTTTCATTTGGGCACTTTTGGGAGCCAAAAGGAGATAACTAAGAACTTCAAGGACATAAAAATCTACTGAATTTCGCTAAGCTACGGCCCTTGCACACACTTAACATTAGGGATTAGAAAGAGAAGGGGAACAGCTCGCCCCCGTGTGAGCCAGGTCAGTACGGCCCCCACCGTCTGACCCCACCGAAGGCTTTCACCCCTCCTGAGTAATTTCAAGTCCCAGCCTTTCACATCCACGTAATGGGCTGCTAGCCCGTTATAAAATTTCAAGCTGTTGTTAAGTGAAGGGAAAAACCCTAATTACACACCAGTGGGAATAATACACTGCCATTATGTTAAATACATAAATAATAGATATATCTACGAAAGCTACAGACACATGGGCCTGTATGGGCAGCGAGTAATCCTGAAATGCCAAACAGAAGCGACCTGCAGGCTGGGATTGGAAGGACAATCCCATTTCACTGAACATGCTTTTCTACGCTGCTTCCCACTTACATGAAGCACTATTTTTAATAAATCTCACTCTCTGGAAATGTAATATAAGCTCCACCTGTTAGCAGCAAACTATCTCCAGAAGTTGGGCCCCATGTGCTGCATGAAACTTGAAGGACACTCTTCAGTCAGTCAGTCAGTCTTTTCTCCCTCTCCTCCACCTCCCTGCCTCCCTTTCTTTTCCTCCCTCTTCCTCTCTCTATTTATGTAGTTTACTTCTACTGGCCCAGTCTGGAATTCTCGATCTCAACTCAAGAGCCCTGGTGCAAGTCCTGGGTGTGAGACCATGTATCTGTGGCCCCTGCCCTGTGGAAGTGGGCTGGCGAGGGGACAGCCCCCTGCCCAAGGCAGGCAAAGCCTCCAGAAGGATGCTTCCAGAGCCCAGAAGCACAGCACACGGCTGGCTTGCGAGTTCTCCTCCCTCTGAGGGTCAATTTAAGACTCCAAAATGACTCCAAGGTCTACCAGCTCCAGAGGCAAAGAAGGGAATCTGGTCACATCCTCCTTGACCCTGAACCTTCTATCTTGCTCCCCTGCTGCTTCTCTTTGTAACTTTCCCTGTTGCCACTCTGAAATACTCTGCTTGCGAGAAGCCTTTGTCATGCTGAACTCCATCTAGCCTGAGATCCTTCTCCAAAGCTCCTATCTCTGGGTAGACAATCCAACTGTGGCATCCCTTCCCCGGAGGTGGAATGCAGGACAGCAGGTGAAACCAGGTTCACTTCTGGTGCCCCAGAAACTGCCCAGCTTGGGCGTTTATCCATCACTGTATTCCTCCCATAAAGCTCAGTGGCCACAACCTTCTATGACAATGGTAAATGGCAGGGACTTTTGCCCCTAATGTTGTTCTTATTTGCCGGGCAGCCCTAAATCCCTTCTGAGGATTAAACCACAGCCTCTGATTGTAATTGTCCATTTCCTAAGGAAACATGGCAACTGCTCCCACAGTCTCTCTTCACAGGCAGGTAAAATGGAAAATCCATGCGCTTTGGGACCAGACAGCTCTGGAATGAATCCCAGCTCAACTCAGCTTTATTCTGGGGCACCTTCCTTACCACTGGTTTCCTTATCTGCAAATGGGAATAGTTCCTACCTGTTTGTAAAAATCCAATGAGTCACTCCCCTCTTTATTCCTCTGACACACCCCTTTCTCATTTCAGCCCTCCAGCTAACTCCACCAGACCAGCCCTGACCTCGAAGTGTAAAGATCCTATTTCTGATGGATATACTCCACCCTTTTTATCAAAGGGGAAGTTTGGAAAGCCTGTTAAACATATGTTATGAGCAACCAAATCAAAAAAAGAAAATATGATTCTCCTTGATAACTACAGAACCTACATCCCCAGCGACACAGAGTGACAGGTACTCAGACATACCTACTTGCTGCGTAGACTCGAGCTTTCCATCCCTCACTGACTTTCTTCGATGCCTGCTGACCTTTACCTTCATTATAATGGTCAAGACTCAGTCTTCAAAGACCTCTTCCCTCATTTTTGATAGAGAAAACAAAAGGCCCAGAGAGCTTAAGTGACCTGTTCAAAGTTGTACAGCGAGTAAGTGGCAGAAAGCTGAGTAACTTTAGTCCAGCTGGTGGGCACAGCAAACTGAGTAACGCATGAAAAGCTGTTAGGAGGAACCACATTGCGAGGCTGTATTTCAGGGAGCCTCAGCAGACTCAGAAGATGTTGTGAATCTCAGCATATGTTTTTAGTATGTAATACAATGGACTATTGAACAACACAGGATCTGAACTGCAAGGGTCCACTTCTATGCTGATTTTTTCAATAAATATGGCAGTAGTGTTAATGTATTTTCTCCCCCTTATGATTTTCTTCATAGTATTTTCTTCTCTCTAGCTTACCTGGTTATAAGAATACAGTGTATAATACATATAACATACAAAATATCCGTTAATCGACTATTTCCTGTTATTCCTAAGGCTTCTAGTCAACAGTAGGCTATTGGCAGTTAAGTTTTTGGAGAGTCAGAAGTTAACAGGTGCATTTCTGACTGCGCAGGGTGGGGGTGTTGTTCAGGGTTAACGGTATGCGTATTTATTTGCCAACAGGATTTCACAGATCTTTGGTGGATTTCTTAGAAATCCTGCGTTCTAGACCAGTGCCATTAAATGGAACTCTGTGAAAAAAGGAAATGCACACTTCCCAACAATTTAAGTAATTAGAACCTGAGCTAGATGTGCCTACAGGGCACTTGAAATGTGGCTCATGCAACTGAGGAGCTGAAGGTTTTAAATTTTTCAACGTTTTTTACAGTGGTAAAATACACATAACATAAAATTTACCATCTTACCCATCTTTAAATGCACACTCCGGCGATATTGAACACATTCACAATGTCATGTGACCGTCGCCACACCATCCATCCATCTCCACAGCTCTTTTCATCTTGTAAACTGAGACTCTATCCCCATGAAACAGTTAACTCTCCATTCCCTCTATCCCCCCACCCCCAGCCCCTGGCAATCACCATTCTACTTTCTGTCCCCATGATTTTGATGACTTTAAGTAAGTACAACCGTACAGTATTTGTCTCTTTGTGACCGGCTTATTTCGCTCAGCGTAATACCCTCAAGGTGACCCAAGTTGTAGCATGTGGCAGGATTTCCTTCCTTTTGAAGACTGACTAACATTCCACTGTGTGTAGAGACCACATTTTGCTTATCCATTCAGCAGTCAATGGACACTCGGGGGGCTCCCACATTTTAGCTACCGTGAATGTTACTATCAACGCTGGTATACAAGGATCTCTATGAGGCCCTGCTTTCAATTCTTTTCGGAAAACACCAGAAGTGGGATTGCTGAGTCATCTGGTAATTCTGTATTTAAGTTTTGAGGAAGCGCCATACTGTTTTCTCTAGCAGCTGCACCATTTTACATTTCCCCCAAGAACACGCAAACGTTCTGATTTCTCCCCATCCTTGCCAATACTGTTATTTTCTGCGGGTTTGTTTTTTGTTTTTTTGATGGCAGCCATCCTAATGGGTGTGAAGTGGTATTTCACTGTAGTTTTGATTTGCATTTCCCTAGTGATCAGTAATGCTAACTATAGACCTTCTTTGGTTCAATGTTTTCATTTGATCTCATTGTAATTAGATTAAACTTAAGTGGCCGTATGTGGCTCGGGGCTGCCCACTGGACAGTGCAGCTCTAGACCACAGCGATTCCCGGGGTAATTTGGAGACCCAGGGCAGTAAGCACAAGGAGCTCTGGAGGCAGATGGACCAATTCAGATACTTTCTAGTTCTGTGGACTTAGCCAGTCACACTTCGCACACCGCAGTCTTTACATGTGTAAAACAGAGTTAGTACAACCAGATTACTTTATCTAAGAATGAAATAAAATGAACCAGCATGTATTCCGCCCCCGGGGTACAGTCTTAGCACACGGGGGAGAATCGAAGCCAATGGGGCATGCCTCCCCTCCTTTCCCAATGCCCACCGAAACTGGACACCTAGGAGTTGGCCTTTTCAGACACTTTCCCCAAGTGCATTGCAGTCCTTGCCAGAGAAATGGACTTTCAGTTCTAGGAAAGAAGGATCGTTAGCTCCCACAAAGAGAACCCCCAAACGGAGGGTGGACGGAGATGAAACCTGCAATCTCAGCCCTCTGATAATCGATGAGTCTGACTCTGTCCAGATTCAGACTTAGCTAATAACCAACAGGAAAGTGAAGCTACCAAACTTCCAATTCTAGAATTCCTGGCCATCTCCTCTGGGAAGCAGCCAAAAACAGACTATAGAGGGAGAATGTTTTAAGAAAACTCTCTCAGTTCTGGATGTGATGCATGGCTCGGGGCAGTCCTGAGATGATTTTTGAGGCCAAGGCCTGGTCAGCGACCATGTGAGCCCCAGGCCCCCCCTTACCTGATGCTGCAGTGGTGGGGGTGCTGGCCGGCGCGGGCTGCGAGGGGCTGCTGCTTTCGGTCATCAGGCACGGGTTGCTGCCGTCGCTCTCTCTCTTGACAAGCAGCTCGGCAGCGCTGGGCAGCGGGATGGGGTGGCTTATCCCCAGTTCTTCCTCCTGGGCCTGCTGCCTTCTCAGGGCCACCTGGAAGCACAGGGCAGCCCGTCAGCCTCCCGCGATCCAGAATCACTTGCACAACTTTGCCAAAACCCCCCGGAGCCCCGGTCACCCCAGATATCAGGATTCATGAGCTCCAGGAGTATACAGGCTGAGATTCTCTCATTCTTTTTGAATGCTACCCAGGTAACCAGGATGTGCAGCCAAAGCTGAGAAATGGCGTCTAGCCCACAGTAGGTCAAAAAATGTCTGTTACACAAATGAGTACGTAGAGCAGAAACTAAGGTTGGCTAGGGAGGATCAGGAAAAACTGTAGAGTCAGCCAAGCAGAGGAGTTCCATCTGAAGAGAAGTCAGCATTGATAGATTAGGAAGGAAGGAGAATGGGATCGCTCACTCCTTCACACCACACATTTGTAAAAGGCCACTGTACTGGGGCCAGCAACCAGCAAGATACAGTAAGATTAGATTAGATCCCAAGGTACTCACTGTTTAAAAGCCGAAAAAGGAGGCAGGCAAACATGCAAAGGCAACTCAACACCAAATGTGGCAAAAACCACGGGAGAAGGACACATCAAGCCCACAGCAGGACTCTGGTGGCAGAAATGGCTTTAAGGGTAAGAATCTGCCGGAAGAGGTACTAGAAGAGGGCCTTGAAGAACAGAATGAGTAACACTTGCACAGGCAAGAATGAAGGAAGGGACAGAACAATCCAAAGCAAGGAAGCAGGGTGGGCAGGAAAGGTAGGGGCTGCTTAGGAAACCCCAGAGCACCCCCCCCCAATGGAGGAAGCATACAGAGCTGTAATAGCAGAAAGGGGCTGGAAGAGGGTGTTGAAGTCCCTGGAGAAGGAAGAGGCTGCAGGTAGAAAGAAAGGCAGAGGACAGATCCTCTATGGAAGGAACGGAAAGTGAGGATGTAAGGGACCTAAATTACCTAAGAGACTCCTCATGGTCCCTCTTCAACTTATCTGCTTTTAAATAACATTGTTAAAGTTTGCAAAAAAAAAAAAGTGTAAAGAAAATAAATTGTACTTTTGCCTACTACAAGTAACAAAAAAAGAGACTTTCTGTTGAAACTTGACTATTGGTGATAGTGAAACGGGAAAGTAAAACAGCTGTACCTCAGAGGCCAAAACAGAAGCCAAAAGTTGAAATCAAAATGGTAAACCAGAAACACAACTACTATTTGTTTTAGGAAAATTGTAGTCCAAACTTAGCAAGCTGATAAACTTACAAATAATTTTACTCATAACAAGAGTCTTCAGCTTACAAAAACATCCTTAAATAATCAATTAACATTACATGATTAAGCTTCAGTCTTGAATTTTTCTGTTATTAACCAAGTTTAGAAACAGAATATTAAGGATTTGACCAAAAAATAGCAACAAAAAAATACCTACAAATCTCTGAAATATGTCAATGCATGCTTATATCCCGATTTACACAAATCCCATACATGCACAAAATGCACAGGGTGTTTATTTTACATGCCATAAACTAAGGACACTTTTATAAAGGTCTCTCAAAGATTTTAAGGAAAAGCTATTTAATAAGGGAAGGTGGGGGGGCAAGTGATTAAAATCCAATTATTTGACGGTCATACTTAAGATCGAATTCACACTATTTCGAAAAGAATGGCTGGTAGGTGGAATTTCACAGGATTTCATCTAGCACAGCACAAGCCTTCCAGGGTGGAAAATGTTGAAGTTTCATATTATAGAAGTAATCCTGAGTCGCTTTTATTTTTTAACATAGCAAACAGCCTTTTTGCAAGTTGGTGCGCCTATTAATAAAACTTACTCAAAATGAATGGCCCTACTTAAATACGTTTTTATTACATTTTGAGGACAAGTCTCCTCCCAAGCATACTCTCCGCACTCAATATTTAAGCCAACAACTCATGTTGAGACGATTTTTCTACGTACAAATACAACTTCCACGTCCCTAAGTCTTTTTCAGTAAACTCACTGTGATGCATTTTAACGCTCATCAGGATAATCTTTTCACCCACTATAGATTACGCTAAAAACCCATAAAAAAGCAGCTAAGGAAAACCTGTATGCCCATGATTGCACTTCATATATCCAGCTTAAAACACATTTTTAAAAAACGAGATGTCTATAAAAACCATAATCTTTAGGCATTTACACAGTCTTTGTTAAACACTCTTACATGAATTCTTTTCCACGGAGGATATTTACACGTTCCCAGTGAAAAGTAGCGCATCGTTAGTAAACATTTCTTTGGTATCTTTTCATCTTAAATAAACTGTCTTAAAAGGAGGAAACAAATTTTAGCTGGAAAGAATGTATATTACTCTCTCCTAAAAAATCCTTTCAGAAGGACACCAAACGACGCGGACAATTTCGGTTTAAGATGCGAAATTCCTGTCCTGCTTAGGACGTTTTAAAAAGAACTACAGACGAACCCTCAAACCCGTGCCATTTTCCCCCCCTGCGCTTCCTTTTAAAAATTCTTAAGTGTGTTTGAAAACCGACGCAGAGGAACTCGTACCTGAGTCAGGTCGAGAGGAGAAATTAGAAAGCTAATACTATCTCCGCGGCGCTCAAAATGGCTGAAGCGCGCGGCGCGGGCCCGCGGACGGCGAGCTCGGAAAGGGCGCCGGGAGCTCGGCGGGGACCACGCGGCGCCCGCGCGCGCTGCCGCGACTTTTCCAGAACCACGCGACGCGCACGGTACCCGGAAGAGCGGCGGCCGCCGTCCCCGAGAGTCGCCCGAGTGGGCGCCCTCCGCACCCTCTGCAGTGTGAACGCTAGTCTCTGCTCGGGGGCGGGGATCCTAGGGCCTCCCGAGGCGGGTGGACTCCCCAACTCTCTGCTCCGACAGCGAGATCGGAGATCCGCGGGACCCCCCTCCCCCCGCCCCGCGGCGGGGCGACCCCGGCAACTCCCTGCTCTGAAAGCCGGAGCAGAGATCCTGGGGAGCTCCGAAGGCGCGAACCCCGCAACTCTGTGCTCTGAGAAAAGGATCGGAGATCCTAGGAATTCTGGGGACCTCCGAGGGCGCGAACCCCGCGACTCTGCAGGAGGGCGGGATCAGGGACTCCCGAACAGAGCGAACCCCGCAACTTGCTGTTCCCGAAGCAGGATCGGAGATCCTGGGGATGGATTCTTGGGACCTCCGACGGGGTGAACCCCCTAACTCTGGGGGAGGGCGGGGTCAGGGATCCCGGGACTCTCAACGGAGCGAACCCCGCAACCCTCTGCTCTGAAAGAGGGATCAGAGGTCCTGGGGAAACCCAATGGGCCGACCCCGCAACTCTGCTAAAGGTCGGGGTCCGGGATCCCTCGGAGGCCGAGCAAACCCCGCAACCTCCCTGCTCCGCGGGCCGGATCCCGGAGGACTGCCGGCTCTGCGAGCCCGGCGTGGCGCGAATCTGGGAGCCCCGGGCCCCGCGCGCCGCGGCCGTCGGCGAGCTCCACCGCCTCTCCCCGGAACCCCGGCCCCGCGTGGCTCCCGCCCGGCCCCGGGGACTTTAAGTCGGTGTCCGGACGCCCGCACTCACCTGCGCGGCCATCACGCGCTGTCTCTCAGCGATCAGGTTGCACTTCTTGCACTGGCAGTCCCGCCACATGCAGAAGCGCTTGTGGCCCTTGAGCGGCGACGCGTAGCCGTGGTTCCTGCATCGCGCGCACTTGGGCAGCCGCGGGGACTTCTTGCTCCCGGAGCCCATGCCCGACGCCCCCGAGCCTGAGCCGCCGCCGCCGCCGCCGCCCCCGGCGCCCGCGCCACCGTTATTCCCAAGCAGCGCCCCAGCCGCTTTGCCAAAGCCCCCGGCCTTGCCCTGCGGGGGTGCCCCGGCGGCGTGCGGGGCCTCCGAAGATGCAGAGGGCTTGCTGAAGGCGTCGTCGTTGGGCATGCTGCCCCAGCGAGAAGTGAGAGGACCCTCCGGGGCCCTCTCGGGTCTGGAGTGGCTGCAAGGGACCAGCACTGCCAACCGCGAGGCTCCCGAGGGGAAGGCGCAGAAGGCGTGTGCGCTGCAACCAGAGGTGCAGCCCGAGTGGCGAGGTCTGGACACACAACGCCTAGAGTGGTGGGGGGTTGTGCCTTTTTTTTTCTTTTGGCGCGCGCGGCGCAGAACTTTTGGATACTTTTCAGAACGTTCCCGGGACTGCCTGGGCGGGAGAGGGCGCGAGGGAATGCAGCCACGCCCCCCAACTCCAGCCACCGGGTTCCCGCTGGGAGCCAGCTTGCACTGGCTGCAAACACCAAGGGCGTGGCTGCAGGGGGCTGCAAACGCGCCTTGAGCTGCAGAGCGGCCGGGGCTCGTGCGATCTCCGCGCTCTCCCAGGCGCCAGGGCGCACGGAGGGAGCTGAGCTCCCAGGTCAGGAACGTAGTTGTGCATCCTAGTGGTGCACGCTGCTTGGAAGAGGTGCAGACCACCCTGTGGGGTCCTCTAGCTCCCTTCCCCCATTCTCCACGTTAGCTCGATAGGGCAGAGGTTGGCAGAAGCCAACTCGGAAAGCGGTTTCTTTCTCACCTAAGTATGACATTGAAGGCCTGAGAAAACAGAAATCTCTGCACTTAATCCACAAATAAGACCCTCAAGCGCTCCAAAAACTGGGTCTCTCTGTTCTCCAGTTATTCCTTCCTGCCCTTTGTGTTCATTCGTTCACAAGAGTTCTACTGCTGGCTCCAGGTAACTCAAATGCATAGTTCCAGCCCCTGTTGCTTCTCACTGCAGGTACATAAAGTTTCTTGTCTTGAGGCAGCTTCACATAGAATCTGCAGGCACGTGACACTCAGCCTTTAAAAAACCTCATTGGGGTGGGACAGGGGGTGTACTTAACAGATGTAGACATTTATCAAAAATTCATCCCACACTTAAGATCTGTGCATTCATTGTGTGTAATTATACCTCTAAAAACCCTGAGTGGTCTTATAGCCTTCCCCCCCCACCCCACAGACACACACCCGGACCCCACCCCTGTGTGCCTCCTCTCTGTTCACTTACACAGCAAATCCATCCCTAAGGCCTGCTGATCAGATCATTTTTCTTTCCACACACCCACAATGTCCCTACAACACCAGCCCTTCCCTTGTCTGGATCTGCAGTAGCTTCCAACTGGACTCCCTATTTCTTAGTCTTCCAGTATATTCCACAAAAACAGCAGCTGGCCCCATGCAGGGGCTTGGTATTGTTTGCCTTGTGAAAAGCAAAAGTTAAAGACCTAAGACTGTGTTTTAAAGGACTTCAGTGATCTCCCTCTGCCTTTCTCAGCCTCACAGAGTTTCCAACAAGCTTGGAAGAGGTCATTGTTGGCCCTTTATCTGTTTTGCTCAGTGCCACTTCCCTAATCTCACAATGGCCCTTGTCCAGCCAGGGGGCTGCGCTAACATCTCTCCCCCACTCTCCTTGCTTTTCCCCAGTATTGGTTCTCAGGTTCCAAATTCCACGCCCCCATCCAAGGGGGGTTCAGTCTGCAAAGGATGGAGGCCACCCCACTTGGGTTCTCATCAAGGTGGTTATCTGGTTACCCTCCCTTAGCAGATGAGCATTTTCAGCACTGAGCTCTGAAATCCTCCAACCTACTTTTCCCATTCTTATTCTGAAGCCCCCCCTCACAGGCTCTTTCCCTGAGCCTGCATTTTCTCCATTAGTGTTCTCTGGCTGAAAATTATTTCCTAAAGAAGCTTCTAGCTTTACACAATACCTCATATCTTACCATCAAGCCAGTGAAGCTCTACCAGGATGCAACGATTTATCTCAAAATGGAACCTGTCAAATGATAACCATTATTTTGTTGAGGAATACTCCTAAATCTTCCATTAAAACACACATGCCAATTGCGATTAGCTGCCAATTATCCTTTTCCATATATTTATACTTTAATACATTAGTTAGTGCTGAATTATTCCCAAGGCCCAATCCAATTTAAGAGAATGAAGTAAATGCTGGAAACAGTGACTGTCGAGTCCCAAATTACAGGGGAGCACGTGTTTCTTAGGAGCCTCTTATCACTAGAATCTGTGATGGAGGGATTTAAGGCTACAGACAATTTGGGGCTAGGGACCTGTGTGATCAAGGTATGAAAATGTAGAATGTGATGAAGTTAGTAGCCTAATAAAGTTTTTATTCATAAACCACAGAGGAGGTATCAGGCACAAGATGATCCAAAAGAGAAGTAGGGAGCCCTTAGGGATGAGCAGAGTGGTTCTGGATATTTTGAGTGGTCTGGCCCTGTTGTCTCCTTTCTTCCCTCTGCTCTTTCCAGAAACCAGATCTTTGAAGGCTGATGATGCAGATCTGTATGCACTGAGGTAGACAGAAGGCCAAGACATGCTGATGAGTGTGGGGGGAGGGTCCTTTCCAAAACTTAGGGTTTTGAAATGATCCTGGAGTCCCGGGATCGAGTCCCGCATCAGGCTCCCTGCTCATCAGGGAGTCTGCTTCTCCCTCTTCCCTCCCCCCTCTCATGGGCTCTCTCTCTCTCTCTCTCATATAAATAAATAAAATCTTAAAAAAAAAACTGACTTTATCAAAATTCAAAACCTTTTTTTTAAGTGTAACTTTTTTTTTTTTTAAGATTTTATTTATTTATTTGACAGAGAGAGAGACAGCGAGAGCAGGAACACAAGCAGGGGGAGTGGGAGAGGGAGAAGCAGGCATCCTGCCGAGCAGGGAGCCTGACGTGGGACTCGATCCCAGGACCCTGGGATCATGAGCTGAGCCGAAGGCAGGCGCTTAGCGACCGAGCCACCCAGGCATGCAAAATTCAAAACCTTTGTACTTCTAAAAACAGCACTAAGAAACTGAAAAGCCACAGACTGGGAGAAAAATATTTGGAAATCATATATCTGATAAAGGACTTGTATCTAGAATATATTAAACCTCTTGTGATTTAATAAAAAAGAGACAAACCAATCAAAAAAATGGGCAACATTTTGAATGGACATTTCACCAAAGAAAATATTCGAATGGCCAATAAGCACATGGAAAGATGCTTGATATCGTCAATCATTAGGGAAATGCAAATAAAAACAACAGTGAAGAATCACTGCACACCCCCTAGGATGGCTATGATCGAAAACACAGACAAGCAGCAAGTATTGGCTAGGATGTAGAGAGATTAGAATTCTCAGATATTGCCAGTGTGAATATAAAAACAGCACAGCCATCTTGGAAAACTTAACCAAATAATTTCACTCCCAGATATCTACCGCAGAAAAATGAAAACATATGTCCACACAAACACTTGGACATGAATATCCATAGCAGCATCACCCACTTGAAACAATCCAAATCCATCAATGCTTGAATGAATAAACAAAATACGGTATATACATCCCATGGACTATTATCTAGTCATCATAAGGGATGAGGCAGTGCTATATTCTATAGCAAGAATGAAACTTGAAAATGGTACACTAAGGAAAAGAAGCCAGATTCAAAATATTGTATGTTCCCATTTATATCAAATGTCCAGAAGAGGCAGATCAATATAGAGAAGATCACCAGGAGCTGGCTGGGAATGGAGAGGAAGTGCAGATGGGTATATGGGGTCTTTCTGGGGGTGATGCAATGGTCTAAAATTGTATTGTGGTCATGGTTGCAAAATTCTGCAAATTTATTAAAATTATTGTATGACTAAAATAAGAGAATTTTATGGTATATAAATTATGCCTTGGGGCACCTGGGTAGCTTGGTAAAGCAGCTGCCTTCGGCTCAGGTCATGATCCCGGGGTCCTGGGATTGAGCCTTGTGTTGGGCTCCCTGCTCAGTGGGGAGCCTGCTTCTCCCTCTCCCTCTGCCCATCTCTCTGCTCACGCTCTCTCTCTCTAATGAATAAAATTTTGGGGCGCCTGGGTGGCTCAGATGGTTAAGCGTCTGCCTTCGGCTCAGGTCATGATCCCAGGGTCCTGGGATCGAGTCCCGCGTCGGGCTCTCTGCT